CTGTCAATTCCCCTGAGAATTTTGTAGGTGGTTATCATGTCTCCCATTACTCTTCTGTATTCCAGGGACGTGAGGTTCAGCTCCTTTAGCCTTTTCTCGTAGTTCATACCTCTCAGTTCCGGGACGAGCCTGGTGGCATACCGCTGAATCTTCTCTAACTTTGATGGACTCCAGGCTGGAGCTGCATATTCCAGGATTGGTCTGACATAAGTGGTATACAGGGTCCTGAACGATTCCTTACACAAGTTTCTAAAGGCAGTTCTTATGTTGGCCAACCTGGCATATGCCGCTGATGATATCCTTTTGATGTGGGCCTCTGGGAACACGTTGTGTGTGCGTTGGCGGCCTGATAGCTGAGTGCACAGCGCTCTGGACTCGTAATCCTAAGGTCCGGGTTCGGTACCCTGTGATGGCAAAAACAAAATGGGCAGAGTTTCTTTCACCCTGATGCCCCTGTTACCTAGCAGTAAATAGGTATCTGGGAGTTAGACAGCTGTTACGGGCTGCTTCCTAGGGTGTGGGTGTGTGTGTGGGTGTGTAAAAAAAGTTAGTCAGTAGTTAGTAACAGTTGATTGATTGACAGTTGAGAGACGGGCCGAAAGAGCAGAGCTCAACCCCCGCAAGCACAACTAGGTGAATACAACTAGGTGAATACAAGGCTGTTTACATGTCCATGTGACTGAGGGCTGGAGCGTGTTAGCATATCTATTCGAACAGGCATTGATTATTCGCACACTAAACCTCACGTGTTTAATTAAATTAATTAAAGAGTATATCAACAAACCCATAAGTCATACAGGTTTCATTTCCACCTCCGCCAGAGCCATCAGTCACCCCATCTCCCTCAAGTCTTCACATATCTTAGCCGTACTGTGCATTACAAATTTGTATTTCATTAATAAATATTGAATTGAAATTGAAATAAGTTTATTAAAGGTAAAATACACACAAAGGGATGAGGTAGCTCAAGCTATTCTCACCCCGTTCTGTACATCGTGTTAATACATACATAGACACACATCACAAGCAATAAACGTATTACCGAACATTCTGAGAGATAAACATATACATTTCCTAAGATTTGCCATAGGCACAGTGTATGTAAGCAAAAGTCATCGACTTTTCAACCTTCAATATGTACATGTATATATAACATTAACAATTGCCCGAAACGCTATGCGTGCTAGTGGCTTTACAAGAATGTAAAATCAACTTAATTTCTATGTTCTCTGTTAACCCTCAATGTACCTTCTTATATATAAATATTTATATATAAATAAATAAATAGTGTAATTAGCTTCACAAGATTGTCATTTGCTTAGCTACACGAACTGTGAGGTTCGGTTCCTGAACCCAATATCCGCCTCTCTAACCATTTCCACCACCGTCCACGGTATGGGTATGGGGTGCATAATAAAGAAATGAAGCTAAATGAATTCCAGAAAAAAAATATATGAAATATTGCCGAAAGAAAGGCTGACATTTTCAAGACAGGCTGGAGGTGTACTCGGACCAGTTGGGTTATGAAGTTTATGTCGGCCAACATAATGTCTTTGTCGGCTGTTTATGTCGGCTGTTTATGTCGGCTTTGTCATTTATGTAGGCTGGTGCCAACAACAGCCTTACGGATCAAATTATTACCTTGATAGCCAAGCTGCGAGAGCAGAAGAATTTAGAAACCAGTTACAAGTAAACCACCGAATAGCCCCACACACACAGAAACAAAAACTACCCTAATGTACCTTGATATTGCCGGCCAATCCTGTTGACGTCAATTTCTTCAACCGTTGAGCAAATTCTGCACTCTGCAAGCACTGTTTTCCTTGCTGATTAACGTACCCAAATCACTAGGTCATAAGTACTAGCCCAAAGCAATGGTCAGCAAACAGTTAATTTCAGTTTACCCTACGATATATAACACGTTTTCTTTTGATGTCTTCGGTTATTTTCTACTACAAACTTGGCAATATATTTATACAATGGTAACTAGCATATATATATTTCTTGCGTCCTCCATGGACATGGTCAGAGATCTGTAAGACAGCATATAGCGTAGTCGGTTATTAAGCACTCAACCACAGAAGGTGATTGAAGTACTCTTATTAATATGAAAACCAGCATACATTCTCGGCTGTTCTATCTAGACAGGAGTTAAGAGATTCTCCAACACATAGTTCACACAGCCCCCCCCCACACACACACAAGTCTAACAGACCCTCCCACACTCACACGATCACCACTAAACTCGTCTCAAGAGTTATGAGAAATCTTAAAGTCTCCTCTGAACTAGGTCAAAACTATCTAAATCCCATTTTCTATTGACTTGCAGTATTTACCTCCCCAAACTCCTATCATTTAATACCAAACTCTCTCGTACACTAGTCACACAACTAGGACTTTACTCAAGCTTCTTCTCTCTCTTTACTTTCTTCTGCCCTTTCATATGTAAGTTTTTTCTTAATATTCTTCTACCAAGTCATAGTAAAAATGAAGCGAGCAAACCTTTGTGCTTACTACATAGAGGAACTTTTGAGCCTGATGGCGCTACGCTCTTCTGTTTCACTTGCGCATGCGCATGTTTATTTTTTTTTTATTTTTACACAAGTGAGTGCAGGAACGGACAGCTTCTGGGAACGAAGTGTTCTTGTATAAGCGTAGAGTGTTCTTTAACATGTACCCACCGTGTTCTTGAGCACGAATGCAATGTTCTTGTAAATTTGTAAATGTGACGTATTCTCACATATTCACTCAAGTGTTCTTGCGTCTATATGTAGTGTTCTTGCGCTTGTATGTAGTGTTCTTGCACTTGCTTGTAGTGTTCAGTGTCAAGCACCTTAGACTGCTTGGTCCAGCGACGACGGCCTTGCACTCCCCCGTGGCGAAGTGGTACCACTGGCGTTTCGCCAGCGCTTTGGCCTGGATTCGTATCTTGGCCGTGGAGGATTGACTGGGCGCCAATCCTTAACGGTAGCCACTGTTCACCCAGCAGTGAATGGGTCCCTATTTATTTATCAAACGATTTGGTGGGTCGTATTCCGGGGAATATTAGGATTATGAACTTGCCCGAAACGTTATGCGTGCTAGTTAGTGGCGGCCTATCCTATCGACCTAGCCTATCTGTTGTCTATTCTCGCAGCCCGAAATAGCTAGCCTAGTATCTGCCTTCAGGGGACAAACTAGCCAGCCTAGCATTTACCTTTCTCGCCTGCGGTCAAACTAGCAGTTCCTACTTAGCTGGATAACTAAACACTAAGGGTTTATGGCCTCCCGTCAGGTCTCTAATGTCATCATCCACACGAAGGTCTCGTCCTTACCACCACCGGTTAATTGAACCTTTCCGTCACGCTAATTACCTACCAATCGACCGTTAGAGCTCTTTGTTTCCAGAGGTCGTTGAAAATCTTTGTCTAATTTGCTGACCAGGATACGTTAATGTGACGCAGTGCTGGGTCGTGGCTGAAAGTTTGGGTCGTGGCTGGAAGTTTGGGTCGTGGCTGGCAGTTTGGGTCGTGGCTGGAAGTTTGGGTCGTGACTGGAAGTTTGGGTCGTGGCTGGAAGTGTGGGTCGTGGCTGGAAGTTTGGGTCGTGGCTGGAAGTTTGGGTCGTGGCTGGAAGTGTGGGTCGTGGCTGGAAGTTTGGGTCGTGGCTGGAAGTGTGGGTCGTGGCTGGAAGTGTGGGTCGTGGCTGGAAGTTTGGGTCGTGGCTGGAAGTTTGGGTCGTGGCTGGAAGTTTGGGTCGTGGCTGGAAGTTTGGGTCGTGGCTGGAAGTTTGGGTCGTGGCTGGAAGTTTGGGTCGTGGCTGGAAGTTTGGGTCGTGGCTGGAAGTTTGGGTCGTGGCTGGAAGTTTGGGTCGTGGCTGGAAGTTTGGGTCGTGGCTGGAAGTTTGGGTCGTGGCTGGAAGTTTGGGTCGTGGCTGGAAGTTTGGGTCGTGGCTGGCAGTTTGGGTCGTGGCTGGAAGTTTGGGTCGTGGCTGGAAGTTTGGGTCGTGGCTGGAAGTTTGGGTCGTGGCTGGAAGTTTGGGTCGTGGCTGGAAGTTTGGGTCGTGGCTGGAAGTTTGGGTCGTGGCTGGAAGTTTGGGTCGTGGCTGGAAGTTTGGGTCGTGGCTGGAAGTTTGGGTCGTGGCTGGAAGTTTGGGTCGTGGCTGGCAGTTTGGGTCGTGGCTGGAAGTTTGGGTCGTGGCTGGAAGTTTGGGTCGTGGCTGGAAGTGTGGGTCGTGGCTGGAAGTGTGGGTCGTGGCTGGAAGTTTGGGTCGTGGCTGGTCGTCTGAGGGGAATATGAGACTCACAAGCCAACATATTCACAGGCTGAATATGACTCAGGCTGACAGACAGACAGACAGACAGACAAACAGACAGACAGACAGACAGACGCACGAACAAACTTACAACAATCACTTGCTTTGTGTGCAAGGCAGCAAACCTGTGTATGTTTACTATCTGTCAGCCTCTTTCACTATAGTATTTCCACTGTTTACATTTTAAAATATAAAAGCATGAATTTACATTCATGCTTTACCGAGGAACTCCGGCACGATAAGACCTATCTACTGCGTCAAGCCAAGAAAGGCAGATACATGAAACTGTCGATAGCAATATATATATATTTTGCAACATTGATTCAAATCATCTCTCTCTCTCTCTCTCTCTCTCTCTCTCTCTCTCTCTCTCTCTCTCTCTCTCTCTCTCTCTCTCTCTCTCTCTCTCTCTCTCTTCACCGATCAACAGCTCATGGAATAAATTACAAGTACCAATTTCAATCATATTTAAAAAAAACATAAACATGTGAATACAAAATGAGGTCAAGAAGTGACCTTAAAGGATCTTAGTGACCTGTGGCACTGTGAAGACAGACCCGAGCTTCGTGTCACTCTGACCTTGCCCCGAGGACAATTAAGATAACCAGAGTAGTCAAGACAGATTATAGGCAGTTGGCTAAACGAGGCTAACAGCCAGAATGAGGGCAGGTGTAATTAACGAATCATTGGTGGAATACTGAAGGTGTTTCGAGGGGGGGGAAGGGATAACGAGGGGAACCTAATAATGAAGGATAACGAGGGACCCAAGTACACAAGGATAACGAAGAGGACCCCAAGTACACAAGGATAACGAGGGATACCAAGTACACAAAGATAACCAGAGACCCAAGTACACAAAGATAACGAGAGACCCAAGTACACAAGGATAACGAGGGGTTGGAGTTCACAAGGATAACGAAGGGAAGTGAATGAACAAGGATAACGAAGGGAAGTGAGTGAACAAGGATAACAAGAATAAAACAATATTTGCACATAACTACCCCTTTCAAAGCTGGAGAACGTGCAGAGACCTTTTACTGCTTTAATCCATTCATCTAAATTATCGAGACAGCTTAAAATGCCTCAATTTATAGTCTTTTAGAGCGCAGGCGAGAACAAAAATTGCACAATAACTTACCCTCGGAAAATATTTAAAAGGGACTCGTTCCGAATCAGCACGCGGAAACAGTTCTTTGCGAGACCACAAAGCCTGGCGGATCTCGCGATTGATGATTGATAAAGATTAAGCCACCCAAAAGGTGGCACGGGCATGAATAGCCCGTAAGTGGCGGCCCTTTTGAGCCATTACCAGTATCAAGAGCTGATATTGGAGATCTATGGAGGTGCGACTGCACCCTGCGTGACGGGAAATGTCTCCCGTGTGGATCTCGCAATATACGCCGCGTTAAAAAGTCACCGGCGTCACTGGGCAAGCTTTCATCCCTACACCTGTCCCAGTGGCACTGTCACGTTGCCTAGGTATCATCAACACGTTAGTGCATTTTCCTGCAACACGTTAGTGGATTTTCCTGCAACAAACGTGACTTGACAACGCAAACACTAGACGTTGCTGGAATGAGGCTTTTAGTCAGAATTTACTCTTTCGTTAAAATTAAAGTTGAATTGCAATCATAAGCACAAGCTTGGGTTTCTGGGACGGGTGTAGAGGTTGGTAGAGAAGGCAGTTCACAACGAGGGGCTTAACATATTGCAGGTTATTGCATATTATTGAATAACTTGCAGACTGTACTCCATTAAGGGGGGTACTGTTAGGGCCCGTTATTGAAGACAGTCCCTTGTTAGCACAGTCTAAGATGCCGAGTGCTTGAAGGGTCTTATAATCCATGGTGCAAATATCCAGTCAAAGGTCCCTGCAATGTAATGCAACAGCACAGCTCATCTTGCATTCATCCAGCAACTGTTGGCACAAAATGTTCTTAAGAGATCAACAACCCAATGGCACTCCCAGAAGCCTTATTAATGGTCACTCAGTAATGATGGTCAGAGGATGGTGCCATTTGTTGTAGGATTGTTGACTAGTTATTAACAGCCGTGGCACTGGCTTGTAGCGGCCAATCACTAAACAGCTCTTTCTTTTGTTGACCGGAGCTGCCTCTGCCAAACAGCTCTTTCGTTTGTCGACCGGAGCTGCCTCTGCCTTCTTGTATAAAGAAAGGCATATTTTCTGAGCGAGGCAGAGTAGACATACACGAGTGGAAGGCGATAGTTGGTTCACATAAGTGCCGCAACAGCGTCCACTACGGGCTCACCATAGCCCGTGCTACTTGGAATTTTTTGTCCCAGGTAGCGAATCTTAAACAACAAGAATTCGGGACGGCTTAATCCCGTCCCGTCACCTTTCCTATCTACAGTGATTTAATGTGATGGATTTTTCTTCCTTAATAACTACAGCTGACAACTTAGGCATCCATCTTGAAACAAACTATGCACGTTGTTGGTGTTGGATCTGACATTCTCTCTCTCTCTTTCCCCAACCACTTGTGCTGGACTGTAGAGCGACGGTCTCGCTTCTTGCAGGTCGGCGTTCAATCCCCGACCGTTCAAGTGGTTGGGAACCATTCCTTCTCTCCTGTCCCATGCAAAATCATTATCCTGACCCCTTCCAAGTGCTATATAGTCGTAATGGCTTGATGCTTTTTCCTGATAATTCCCTCCCCCCCCCCTCTCTCTCTCTCTCTCTCCAATATCAAGACTATCTTCCTCCAATATTTCTCCATATTACCTTATCGTAATTACTCTGTTGCTTTCTTACGTATCATCAACACTGTTGTAATATCCTCGTGTGTCTGGTCGTAAATGCATATCTCTCCACTCTCACCTTCCTTCCTCCTATAATTTGCCTCACCCCAACCTATATTCCCCTTTCCGTACCTTTCATATTTTTCCCCTTTACCTTTTTGCACCTTTTCACATATTATTTCCCCTCTCTTCCTTCACATACTGTTTCTAGGTACCCCCTTATCTTCTCCGGGTGCCCTTGACCTTTTCCAGGTGCTACCTGACCTTCTCCAGGTACCCTTGACCTTCTCTGAGTACCCCAGACCTCCTTCGCGTACCCCCTGACCTTCTCTGGGGTACCAAATGACTCCCTTTAGTGAGCCCCTTTCCCCCTCTTTCACCCCTTCCTCCTCCAATGCACCAATGCCCAGTCTTCTCTCCCCCCTCCCCCCCCGGGGTCTGTCTGTCTGTCTGGTCAGTCGATAGATACACGTGGCTCAGCATGGGTGCTGGTCCTTCTAGTTCAGCCGCAGCCACACACCTGACTGGCTCACATGAGGCCGCTGTCTGTCTGGTCCAGACGCAGTTCGACATCTGACTGGGTGACTCACTTCGCATGGGACGCGCACGCCGCCGTGAGTGTATGTGTGTGTGCGTGCGTGTGTGTGTGTGTGCCTCACTCCCCGGCGTGCGTTACCTATGGACTCACGTCCTCCGCGTATTCTCCTTTTTTTCTGAAGGGATATTCACACGCGTTTGATTACGAACGGTCGCCACACGCGTGTTTGATTACGAACGGTCGCCACACGCGTGTTTGATTACAAACGGGTCGTTACACGCGTTTGATTACGAACGGTCGCCACACGCGTTTGATTACGAACTGGTCGTTACACGCGTTTGATTATGAACTGGTCGTTACACGCGTTTGATTACGAACGGTCGCCACACGCGTTTGATTACGAACTGGTCGTTACACGCGTTTGATTACGAACGGTCGCCACACGCGCGTTTGATTACAGTGGTATTTGCGAGGCGGTCAGTGAACCGTCACCTGTGGTGGAAGGCGTGTTATGCTTCAGCTAGGCCACTAGAGACTAAACAAAAAACAAAGCTATCAAATTAATATCGAGTGTTACCATGTATCAAAAACCCCAAAAATGTGATTCCTTAGTTGGAGAAATATTTTTGGACGAAAATGTTGTGTTCGAAACTATTGAAACGATGATAGCATTAATTCCGTCAGTTTGTGAATGCTTCCTTGTGACGGGGGTAAGTGAACGAGGCTCGAACCCTGCAGATAAGGCTGGCACACAGGAATAATAGTGTTATAAATGGATATGGAATCTAAATATTTGTGGTAATTAAGACCAGTTGGGGGAGACTTTGGGAAGAAGAGACAAGCGGAGGAGAATGACGGGAGGTGTGTGTGTGTGTGTGTGTGTGTGTGTGTGTGTGTGTGTGTGTGTGTGTGTGTGTGTGTGTGTGTGTGTGTGTGTGTGTGTGTGTGTGTGGCTCCGGGCCTTCCCATAACACCTCCACCACCTACAACAAACACATTATCGTGATGTATCAATGAGAAAATCCGCAGGAACCGTGATGAGGGTTCGAACCTAAGCGCTGGGGGTGTTCCCAGATGCGTAGTCGACTAGGGCGTACATAGATTCGAACCCTCAACACGGCTCCCGTGGATTACCTCACTACCACCACCACCATCACCCTAGCTAACACCCCCCTAACACCACCACCACCAGCACCACCCCCAACACCACTACCCCCACCACCACTACCACCACCATCACCACCCTAGCTAACACCCCAAACACCAGCACCACCACCACCCCCAACACCACCACCACCACCACCACCCCCAACACCACTACCACCACCACCACTACCACCACCACCACTACCACCACCATCACCACCCTAGCTAACACCCCAAACACCAGCACCACCACCACCACTACCACCACCATCACCACCCTAGCTAACACCCCAAACACCAGCACCACCACCACGACCAGCACCACGTGCCGCCTAGCGTGTCTGTCTGGGGGGTGGCGGGGGAGGGTGTCGTAGCCGCGCTTGGTCCCAGGTGAACCAGTCAGTGTTCTGCCACCAGACAACCTCACCTGTGTGCATGACTTACCTGCCTCCATACTTCACACGTGTTCACCGTGTACCTGCGTCCGTAGCTTACGTGGATCGATAGCTAATTAATGTGAACCTTGAACATACTAATGTCTCCTTAATGCCTTTAGACTGACAGTGAGCCGTCCAGCAAGAGAGAGAGAGAACAAGCCAAGAATTCTTCCCCCACAACGAGGCCGTGACCCGTACACAGTAACAGCCAGTCTGTTGTTGTTGTTGTTATAGATTCAGCTACTCGGAACAAGTTCCAAGTAGCACGGACTATGTATGGTGAGCCCGTAACTTACCCGGCACAGGAGCGGGGCAAGTAGCACGAGCTATGGTGAGCCCGTAGTGAACTTAGCAAGTAGCACGGGCTATGGTGAGCCCGTAGTGAACTTACCTGGCACAGGAACGGTGCGTTATTTAGCGAGTCTGAGAATGAGTTCGTTATAAACCCCTGTACTGAAGACCACACAGCCAACAACATTACGTGAGGTGAGTCGAAGGGCCTATAATTGCCCTAGTCAATGCTTAACTTCACTCGTGTTATACAGGACCAGGATTTATCAAACTTTTACCCAACCACTTACGAAACTTGTACATCTTTCACGAATCATAGCGGCTTTGTTTACGTTTTTTAAACGGTTCATGAACTTCATAACCCAAGATTAATATTGTTATGAACACCGTCGTAGTGCCTCGGTGCTCGTAGAATGTTTAATACATGTAAACAAAACCACCATGATTTTTAAGAAAAGATGTACAGGTTTCGTACGTGGTCGCGTAAACGCGAGACAGTAGATAGGCGTGTGCTTGACACAGATCACAGCCTTCACAACCTGCTGAAGGTGAGATCATGAGGAATAGGTACCTCCTTTTAACACTTTAATGTTCACTCACAAAACTCGCGGCGTTCACACGCGTACGTGAAGATACGCACACGCGACCACCCACGCACACGCGTATACAGCTGTATCGATTTCATCCATAGACCTAGCGGATGAGGGTGGATCAATGCTCACCCCTCACTCCTAGTGAGGGGTCTCTCTCTCTCTCCTAGTGAGGGGTTTCTCCGCTCTCTCTCCAATTGGGGTGGGTGTCTCTATGTGAGGAGTCACTCTCTCCTAGTGAGGAGGGGTCTTTTTTCAGGGTTTCCATGTAGCATCCACTTGGCCTGATAGGTAGAGGAAAGGACTCAAATTTTCATGGTCGGCGTACGATCCCTTCAAGGTTCAAATGGCTGGGCATCTATCACTCATCATATTCCAGCTCCTTATCTTCATATCTCAGCTTTTTGCCCTCATATCCCAGCTCCTTATCCTCATATACCAGCTCTTTGTCCTAATTTTCCATCTCCTTTTCTTCATATCTTTGTGACTGACGGTAGGAGTGGCAGTGACGGCAGACAGTGATAACAGATATCAAGTGCCGCCTGTGAACCACTGTAACACCTGTGTTTCTCCTCGCCAGCACGATGGAGTCGACGGAAACGGTCGTCGATGAGGAGAGGAAGAGGCGGCCCCCGCTGCTGCGACGACACACGCTGGGCACGTCGCCGCCAGCTGGCCACCTGGGCGGGGGCGGCGAGCGGCGGCGGGTGGCACGGGCGGCCTCAGAGGACAGGTGGGCGGCGGGGCGTGGCGGTGACAGCACCCCATGTACCACGAAGAGAGGATCCACACATGCGTCTTCCATAGTGGCGAGGGCCCGCCGCCTCGCCTGGTCTGGCATTCCTGCGCCGGACGTAAAAACAGAAACAGCATCGACGTTAGCTAAAGCCAGCAAGCGAAGGAGTCTCGCCAGACCCCAGAGTTGCGGCACTCCAATCTCGGGCGTAATACCATTCCAGGATGTGACTCTCACTCTACCAGAAGCCCAACATCGTCCTTTGGGAAGTGACAAGTTAGAGCCAGAGGCAACAGCTCTGCCAGCAACCATCGCTAAGGTAGAGGTTGAGAGCCAGGCGAGGGACGAGAATGACCAACACACCAAGACCTCAACGAAGGTGATCCGTTCAGTTTCCTCTCCGGATATTTTCTACACAGGTCCCCCTAAACTAGCCAGCTACACAGACGAATCTCAAAACAGGAAGCTGGATCTTGAGCCTTATGACGGTCTTGTCATCCAGAAAGCTCCCTTGATAACGCAGGAGGCGAAGCGGATTGAACTTTCAGACGAAGGTGACGAGGCAGATGAAGAAGATAATGCATCGGAACCTCAGGCAGACTCCACACTTCGTGGATACCGGTCTAGGAACGGCTTCGGCTTCATTCCCTTTAGTAAAATGTTTACTAAACCTCTGAGAGCGTCACTGCTGCGACGCTCGTCACAATCTTCGCAAGGGGAGCCAAACCTTGGCGTGGAAAATACCTTCCAGACGTTGAGTGAGTCTGAGAGAGACGTTATAAAGAGGACTCGGAGCGCTCTGAAGCAGAGAATTAACTCCGCCAACAACAAAAGCGCTTGCAACGGCAAGAAGAAGATCCAGCTAAGCATTGTAGTTAATGCTCAAGGGGATACGGACGAGAGCGCTCAAGCGTCAGATGAGAACAACGAGGTCCCTCAGCTATCCTTCACACTACAAGACTGCACTGCAGAAAGACAAAGCAAGACCAAATCTTCCAGACACAACGACCGCGAGATGCCGCCACCGCCGACTAAAACATCTAGCGTCTCGAGTCTCTCGAGAAAGAAGTCCAGGACCAAGACTGAACCGAAAGTGTCAACAACGATAACTAAGAAGGCAAAGAAGAAGGAAATACCAACGATAATGTCAGAAATTAGCCCCGTACCCAGCGACGTGGAGCAGGGACTCGACTCTAACCAACACGGGCCGCTGGCGGAGATGCACGCTCTCCACATCAGAAAGAGAGCGAGTTCGACTCTCCCCGACGATGGTTGCGGCACCGACGCCCGGGATCGGGGCTACGACAGTACCCCCGACGGCCTCTTCGCCCCGGCGCGCGGGGAACTGCTGCAGACGATCATCAACGAATCCAGCATGTATGCCCCGGTCAGCCAAACGTGGAGAGGGAGAAAGTAAGTATGAGCAGGTTCTTGGACGCAGGTTCGAATCCTCGTCACGGCCCTTGTGGATTTGTTCATAAGTATGAGCACTTGTGGTGTGGTAGCTGGCTCTGGTGGTGCTTCTGTCACACGGTAGCTGGCTCTGGTATAATATTAATTTAGATTTGAGAAAATTCCCATTTTAAATGAACATCATGTTAAAATTTATGAATGCGTCTGTGGGGTCGCAACCCGTCCTCGACTCAAGTCCATTCCATCCAGCGGTCGACACCACAGATGCATTCATAAATTTTAACATGCTGTTCATTCAAAATGGGAATTTTCTCAAATCTAAATTAATATTATAATCTATTAGCATATTGTGCATATATAGGCATAGGTTAGGTTAGGTGTTTAGGTTCTGTTGGCGATTATTTGTATTTGTAGTACGCGGGTGAAGCATTTACAGCGTTGTGGTTCGAACAAAATTCGTCAGTGAAACACTTGTTCCGGATATGTTCGAACGTCAGCAGTTGTGAGTCGTGTGTAAACCGCTTTTCATTCATAAACAGGGGGTTTGGCGAGTGCATGGAATCACTTTTGGATCTTTGTTTGAAGGACGGGTTGAGAATTTACCGCGTTGTGGTTCGAACAAAATTCGTCAGTGAAGACACTTGTTCCAGAAGTGTTCGAACGAAATCAGTTGTGAGTCGTGTGTAAACCGTTTTTCATTTATAAACAGGGGGTTTGGCGGGTGGATGGAATCACTTTTGGATCTTTGTTTGGAGGACGGGCTGAGCAAGCAGCCTGTCCTCCAAATGCAGCTCGGACAGAAATAGACAGACATTTGGAAATGTTAATTTAGATAATTAGATACGACTTCCTGAGAAGGGCAGGTATACGTACATAAAGGGGTACATCCACTGCTTCTTGGTGTGTATACTCACTGCTTCTTGGTGTATACCCACCGCTTCTTGGTGTGTATACCCACCGCTTCTTGGCGTGTATACCCACTGCTTCTTGGTGTGTATACCCACCGCTTCTTGGTGTATACCAACTGCTTCTTGGTGTATACCCACTGCTTCTCGGCATGAATACCCACCAAAAAGTAGCCCATAGAACCCACACTTATAATTACCAACAAAGACCAAATGCAGAGTGTAACACATGAAGGCAATGTAACAACGGGCTCACCATAGCCCGTGCTACTTGGAACTTTTTGTTCCAGGTAGCGAATCTTAAACAACAACAACAACAGAAGGCAATGGAAAACACACAACACAAACTCAAAACCTGCCGATATTATGCAGTGGTATATACAAATATGGGCTTTCATGAAAAACTAATGGGATATGCATACATAAGAAACCCCCCCAAAAAATATTGGAATATTCTCAATGCAGGTAAATGTTCCACACATACAATAAGATCTTTTAAGAATTTGTCAACATTTAGTGTATCAAAATATTCAAAACAGAGTCCACTTTATAACTGCCGACCTAAATGAGGCAAAGGTAGGTATAGGCCTTAGGCCCAACGCCAAACCAAACTGTGAAACACCAGTCCACAAAAAGAGTGTGAAGTGTTGAGCGTGTTTTTCGAACTCGCAAAGCCTCGTCGTGTCACGGCTCGGCGTTGTGTTTAGGAATAAGTAGTCTCTCTAACGCCTCATGCCACCAAAGAACATTACCACACACAAACAACTCAACCCTGCACCAATTCACAAGTAGTTCCATTAGTCCGTTGTGGTTAAGAAAGACTACTGACGTTCTCAAGGATCGGGGGGCGGGTTGGGAAGGGATGGAAGACTATCCGAATTGTTGGGAGGGGGGTTAAGCGTGAAGTGACAGCCACCTGTGGCCTCTGGGGTCGTCGACCCCCCACCAACTTCCCCTGAACACCGCTTTACATAGCTATATCTCACGGTATCATGAGCTCAGCCTGCACATCTGTCTCTGTTCGGAGGGGCGGAGAGGGCACTAACGCCAAGACCTGTATGTGATACAGTTATACACGCAGGTGAGGGGCACATGGCACTTATACACACTACTGTGAGATACATGCTACAGTTATACACACATGAGTGGCAGCCATATAATTAATACTGACATACTTTAACACCAATGCAGACACAAGTTAAGATACGAAATAAGGCGACACGGAACAAGGGAGATATTGAGCAGGAAAGAAAGTCACGGAACAAGAAACAGGGATAAACGAAACAAGAAAACATGGAACAGGGAGGCACGGAACAAGATACACGAACCACACACACACACACACACACACACACACACACACACACACACACACACACACACACACACACACACACACACACACACACACACACACACTAAACCATCTCTCCCAACAGGATGCACCTTGAAGTGAGGATCAGGACGGACCGAGCGATGGTGTCCACGGATGAGGACGAAGTCAGCGAGATCGAAGACCGAAGAGGACCCGCCAGCCACAGACGAGCCAGAACAATCCAACGGTCGCATGAGCTGGGTAAGAGCCATCGTTGAGGGGATTAAAACGTATATAGAAGAGAATAAATCGGATGAGGAAGAGAGAAAAAAAGGGGAGTAAAAGGTTTTAAGAAAGAAGAGAGATAGGAATTTATCTCTTCCATCTCTACCAGGAGACTTTTCTAGTTCTAAAATGCAATGCTGTTTCCTCTTATTCAATATTTTCTCTCTTGCTAAACACAGTTTTCCCTTGTTTGTGTTCATTGTTTTCTCTCTTGTTATCCCTTTTTCCCCTAACCCTTCTGCTTTATAAATTCCTCTTCGAGCAGTACCTATTTCCCGCTCTTGCTATACCAATTTTCTCGTAATGGTATACACATTTCTGCTCCTCTGTACTCCTATTACCGCCTTCTGCTGTTCACATTTTCTTTCTTCCTGCTATAATGATATACCATCCACCTATACCCATTTACTCTCCTGCTATACCCATATATACCCTTTTTTAATCCTCTGCTCATTTCTGCCCATTTCGATTCTCCTGATACATTTACTTTTACCCCCTTCAATACCCATTCCCCCTTGCAGCTATACCCCTTTCCCTTGCAGCTATACCCCTTTCCCTTGCAGCTATACCCCTTTCCCTTGCAGCTATACCCCTTTCCCTTGCAGCTATACCCCTTTCCCTTGCAGCTATACCCCTTTCCCTTGCAGCTATACCCCCTTTCCCTTGCAGCTATACCCATTTCCCCTTGCAGCTATACCCCTTTCCCTTGCAGCTATACCCCTTTCCCTTGCAGCTATACCCATTTCCCCTTGCAGCTATACCCTATTTCCCCTTGCAGCTATACCCCTTTCCCTTGCAGCTATACCCCTTTCCCTTGCAGCTATACCCCTTTCCCTTGCAGCTATACCCCTTTCCCTTGCAGCTATACCCATTTCCCCTTGCAGCTATACCCCATTTCCCCTTGCAGTTATACCCCTTTCCCTTGCAGCTATACCCCTTTCCCTTGCAGCTATACCCCTTTCCCTTGCAGCTATACCCCTTTCCCTTGCAGCTATACCCCTTTCCCGTGCAGTTATACTTCTTTCCCTTGCAGCTATACCCCTTTCCCTTGCAGCTATACCCCTTTCCCTTGCAGCTATACCCCCTTTCCCTTGCAGCTAAACCCCATTTCCCCTTGCAGTTATACCCCTTTCCCTTGCAGCTATACCCCTTTCCCTTGCAGCTATACCCCTTTCCCTTGCAGCTATACCCCTTTCCCTTGCAGCTATACCCCTTTCCCTTGCAGCTATACCCCTTTCCCTTGCAGCTATACCCCTTTCCCTTGCAGCTATACCCCCTTTCCCTTGCAGCTATACCCCTTTCCCTTGCAGCTATACCCCTTTCCCTTGCAGCTATACCCCTTTCCCTTTCAGCTATACCCCCTTTCCCTTGCAGCTATACCCCTTTCCCTTGCAGCTATACCCCTTTCCCTTGCAGCTATACCTCTTCCTCCACACAGCTATGTTCCCTCTCCTGCTCCTTCCCTTCCTATACATCCTGGTAACCCTGGCTCTCTCTCTCTCTCTCTCTGTCTCTCTACAGATCCACCGAGTGCCAGGACTCCTGCTGCCGCTACTGATGCCACTAGGACACTGCCTCACAGAGGAGCCCGAGGCACGGTGCTGCCTGCCAACGCACGCCCACAGCCCCAACACGCCCACACCGCCGTACTCAGGGCCAAGGAGAGAGACAAACTCAGGCAGATCCTAGAGGTGCGGAAGGGTGGGGGGTGGTGCATTTTGCTCCCTGTATTTACTACTTGTGCCTGTAACATCAGGCTGTTATACCTCTTTGACCCCCCGCCTTTCTAATCGTCTTGTGTAGTGTTGTGTGTGTGTGTGTGTGTGTGTGTGTGTGTGTGTGTGTGTGTGTGTGTGTGTGTGTGTGTGTGTGTGTGTGTGTGTGTGTGTGTGTGTGTGTGTGAACTAGTTTAATGTTGTCATCAAGAGTATGACTGCTGTCAGTGGATTAATGCAATGAATATCGATTAATTGTATTTGTATCATATCTTTACTTTTAATAATAATAATAATAATAATAATAATAATTACAAAATAATATTACTAGTGATAATATTAAAATAATAATATTACCGGCACAAGCGATAATAATGATAACATTCTTTTTTTTATCATCATCAACATCTCTTTTTATAATCGCTGTCAACCTTGCCTCAGGTGTGCTCAGACAAGGTGGAAGAGTCCAAACATCTCAGACGACGACTAAGGGCCGGCGGAGTCTGGGTCTCCCTTGACACCCTACAGAGGTCAGTTTCAGGTCACATCGTGACACGAAGTAGCGGAGCCGTATCTTGACACCCTTCAGAAGTCAGGCCATAGCGCCAATGCTAAGTATCGGTTCAATCCCCTTGACATGATTTAAATCTTCTAGAGGTAACAAATCTTGTGTCATGCATATCCCACATACCTTGTCACTTAGAGAGGAAACTTGCCTCATGCCTTCGACAATTCCTGTGTCTTTGACGATGTTTAAGTTTCCAGAATCTTATTTTGGATATTTTCTTTCAGAGGATTGATGTCCCCGACGGAGTACCGGGTGTATCAGGACCACCTGAGGTCTCTGGAGGAGAAAGAGCAACAGAAGAAGAGACCTATTAGAATGAGCACCTCTCCGTCTAAGAGGTGACCGGAGGAGGCTCTGAGGTCTTGCTGGAGACAGTCTGGATCTCGAGGCTTTGTCAGGCGTAAACATGGGACCTGAATAACAAAACGTCCTGGGGCGAGATTCACGAAGCAGTTACGCAAGGACTTACGAACTTGTACATCTTTTCTCATTCTTTGTTTACAATTATTAAACGATTAATGAGCTCCGAAGCACCAGGAGGCTGTTTATAACAATAACAACAGTTGATTGGCAAGTTTTCATGCTTGTAAACTGTTTAATAAATGTAACCATAGCCGTCAAAGATCGAGGAAAGATGTACACGTTCGTAAGTACTTGCGTAACCGCTTCGTGAATCTGGCACCTGGAAACTGAATGTTTATTCTTACAATGAAGTTTTCATGGTCTTGTAAGGGAGTCTCCAAGGGAGTCGCGTCTTGGTAGACGATGCCACTGACTCGGCAACCTGCACCCTCACACCTCCAAGAGATCACGAGGCCTCTCACCGCTACAAAGGTCACATACCAACAATCATTCTTGTGTAATCAAGAAAATAACAAGAGATCAACTACTTACGCAGGCGATGAGTCACAATAACGTGGCTGAAGAATGTTGATCAGACCACACACTAGAAGGTGAAGGGACGACGACGTTTCGGTCCGTCCTGGACCATTCTCAAGTCGACTTGAGAATGGTCCAGGACGGACCGAAACGTCGTCGTCCCTTCACCTTCTAGTGCGTGGTCTGGTCATCAACTACTTACGGAGCGTGGCAACCTAACCTAACCTTCTAACCTAACAGTAACTATGGGGAAGTTAGGGCTAACTCTTTATACTCTTCTACTACCCTTGTTGTACCAGATGCGATATAAGTTATATATTCCGATGTTCGAAATCACGATTCGAATCTGGCCTTAAAGGTGTGGATGAATGGAGGTGGCTTCCACAACCTATTCTTTCAGTGCATTACACTCGGACAAGGTAAGAGGATTTCCTTACATTTCTTCGACTCATTTGAGTTATCAGCTTTCACCCTCCTCCCACTTTCTCTTCATTTTAAAAGAGTCTGGCCTTGTCTATCTTCCTCTCCCACCTCCCCAATTCTATCCTGAAATTCTAGATTACCGTGATCAATCCCCGCGGTTCTCAGTCCCTTAGTTCCAGGCTTCTCTAATCACGACGACGATATACCCCGAGAGAAAAAAAAAAGTGATGAACAGTGAAACGTTCTCAATTTAGTGGCTGAAAGCACTGCTCCATCACATGTGGATTTTAGTTTTGTGGTGGAGGACATGCAGTTAGTGAACGAAACATTCGGAAACGTATGACCGATGTTTTCTGAGAGACAAACCGGAATGATTCCGGCGAAATAATTATGATAACGAAGAGAATATTTTTTCACCCACGACTCCTGCAAGTTGCATGTGAAGGTTTATGTTATAAGAAAAATATTCTGAACTCTCATTATCATGTGAGAATGATAGGTTTCCCCTCGGGGTAAATTTAACATGAGAGGGGTATCATGAGGGGTATCACATGAGGGGTATTACATGAGGGGTATCCCATGAGGGATACCACATGAGGGGTATCACATGAGAGGTATCACATAAGGGATACCACATGAGGTGGTAAATGATCAACAGAGTTGTTTTTATATGCATTTTGTATTGTGTACTGATGTATGGGTCAAGTTTATAACTCTTTTAAGAAAATTTGAGAAATATTTGGAGTTTTATTCTGGTTTGCCTTCAAGAGGGGGGGGGGGATGGTGAATGTTGGTTGCGTCTTATTCACTATCTCCTCCTCCTCCTCCTCCTCCTCTTCCTCCTCCTCCTCCTGCTCCTCCACTTACTCCACCACTGTACCTATAACCTGTGCTTGTAAAAGCATCTTAATCACCTTCAGTGGCTAAGTGTTTAATATCACACTAATTTCTATAGAAGCTATCTTACCCTATCAAAGTAGGAGAGACATAGGTGTATGTATATATATATATATATATATGTAGATATGTGTAGGTATATGTGTAATATGTGTATGTGTGTGTGTATTTGTATACAGGGCATGTGGAAGCTGGTCACAATTGCATTTCACCTTTGTAAACGCGCATTAATGACTATGTAAAAAGACACCTCGAACACTGTTTATGTAGGACAGACGTAAATCTGTGTATTTATGTCTGTAGGTTACCTTAGCATTTTAAAAACACTACAATCACCTTCTGTGGTTGATTATTCAATAAATCACTGAACTATACATTTAACAGATCTCTAACCCTGTCCACGGGAGAACAGAAGAAAATGTATATATGCTGGTTAGCATTGTAAATGTCTGGCCACGTCTGTGGTAGGAAAAAAAACTGCCTTATGCTCCTCCTGCTTACCTAATAGTGCTTACTTACCTAACCTATCTGTCAGTGATTAAAGGAAAGTTAGGTGTAGATCTTTATGGGGGGCATAAAGAGTTAGACCTTACTACTAGCTGCTGTTCCATCATGCTGTGTCTACTCTCTCTCTCTCTCTCTCTCTCTCTCTCTCTCTCTCTCTCTCTCTCTCTCTCTCTCTCTCTCTCTCTCTCTCTCTCTCTCTCTCTCTCTCTCTCCTCCTCCCTCACCACCTATCAAAAAGCCCGCCATAAGGGCAGAAGAGGTCGTGTGTAGGTATATTTATGGAGGCATTAAGATAATTAGGGAATATTAAACCGCGTAGCCCACGCTCGGGGAAAGCCATCTGTTATCTTAAATAAGAGAGACTGAGGCTGGCCGAGATCACGCTATGGGTACATACTCTCAGCCATTTTGCACAGTGATTGCTGTCGGGTAGGTGCCCCCCAAGGCAGTCATACACACATTCCTTCACATTTTGCATAAACAGCACAACAAACTGACACACCAGAGAATCCTATTAATCCAGTGGATGATCTGGCCGAGTATCCCCTTAAATACCTCACGAAACCTAGTTTTTTTTGCAGCCTCATTAAGGGAGATGGGCGATTGGGTCTAGTTACGCGGGAGACTGAACGTTATTGGCTCGTCTCTTTATCATCGACGAACCCACATTATGTCTAGTTAATAACATAGTCCCTAAAAGAGTTACATTACAAGTGCCTCAAAACATGCGACAAGACGAGTAAGAGCAACAAAAAAGAGTGAATTTGGTTCATGAAACTTTTGTTTTATTCTGTTCTATGATTCGAGTTTATCATTGTTTTATTATTATATTTTATCTTTCTGTTCGATTATTCTATTTTTCTGTTTATTTACTCTATCAATAACTTTTAGTATATTTTGGCACTCTATTATTTTATTTTATTTTACAATTCTTTTCAATTTGACCATTCAGTTTTATTATTCACTCTGTTTTACTATTCAATCACTCTGTTTTATTATTCAATCACTCAGTTTTATTATTCAATCACTCTGTTTTATTATTCAATCACTCTGTTTTATTATTCAATCACTCAGTTTTATTATTCAATCACTCTGTTTTATTATTCAATCACTCAGTTTTATTATTCAATCACTCTGTTTTATTATTCAATCACTCTGTTTTATTATTCAATCACTCTGTTTTATTATTCAATCACTCTGTTTTATTATTCAATCACTCAGTTTTATTATTCAATCACTCAGTTTTATTATTCAATCACTCTGTTTTATTATTCAATCACTCTGTTTTATTATTCAATCACTCAGTTTTATTATTCAATCACTCAGTTTTATTATTCAATCACTCTGTTTTATTATTCAATCACTCTGTTTTATTATTCAATCACTCAGTTTTATTATTCAATCACTCAGTTTTATTATTCAATCACTCTGTTTTATTATTCAATCACTCTGTTTTACTATTCAATCACTCTGTTTTACTATTCAATCACTCTGTTTTACTATTCAATCACTCTGTTTTACTATTCAATCACTCTGTTTTACTATTCAATCACTCTGTTTTATTATTCAATCACTCTGTTTTATTATTCAATCACTCTGTTTTATTATTCAATCACTCTGTTTTACTATTCAATCACTCTGTTTTATTATTCAATCACTCTGTTTTATTATTCAATCACTCTGTTTTACTATTCAATCACTCTGTTTTATTATTCAATCACTCTGTTTTATTATTCAATCACTCTGTTTTACTATTCAATCACTCTGTTTTATTATTCAATCACTCTGTTTTACTATTCAATCACTCTGTTTTATTATTCAATCACTCTGTTTTATTATTCAATCACTCTGTTTTACTATTCAATCACTCTGTTTTATTATTCAATCACTCTGTTTTACTATTCAATCACTATGTTTTATTATTCAATCACTCTGTTTTATTATTCAATTCATCATATTGTTCTAGTTAGAAAGGCGGGGTCCAAGACCTAATAACTCGATTCTGCATACACAAATAGTAAATACACACAAATACACTTACTGCACGTGACTAGGCTGCGTGGTGCGGTAGCCTAGCCCGATGTCTGATGGCTGTCTGTACATCATATTCCCCCCTCTCGTCTTTACACAATCAAGGCTAGGAGCCTTGATTGTATGAACCCCATTGATGTTTTTTTATTATTATTAATACATGAGGTACATCTGCATTAGTGCAGCTACCCTAGACTATATGAAGGGGAGTACAGTGTGTCAAAAAAGCTAACTACGTGATGCTAAAAAATCCCCATCACACAGGATGGTTAGTCATACAGAGGCATGTGATGGGCAGTCTGCACTGGCAGACTCCAGAAGCATTTTGAGGATATCATCAACACAAGATTGAATAAGGTAGTAGTGGTAATAAAAGTCCCCATCTCGCAGGATGGTTAGTCATACAGGGCCATATATTTAGCAGCCTGCACTGGCAAATTTTGGGTACACTGTGAGGATATCTTCAAGAATACGAGAATGAATAAAGTAATTGCAAAGCTCCAGGTACCTCATGCATTGACTATGTCAACTCTGCGGTGCTTTCACCTCAGATTTGACTGTCTCACTCCCAAGCTCCTCATTAGTATACATACACCTGATATAACCGATCTATGCAGCTCAATATTAGCCTCTTTGGACTCATCAATCTTCTATCTCCCCCATCTCCTTTGTCACGTAGTAATACTGGCTTAGTGGTCTCGCCTTAGAATTATCTTACCTTCCCGTACCTCCCTAGATCACAATCCTTCTTACAGTTGTATATCTCATCAA